CAAATACCTGTACTTTCTACTTCTTACATGTTGAACACAAATACCTGTACTTTCTACTTCTTACATGTTGAACACAAATACCTGTACTTTCTACTTCTTACATTTTGAACCCAAATACCTGTACTTTCTACTTCTTACATGTTGAACTCAAATACCTGTACTTTCTACTTCTTACATGTTGAACACAAATACCTGTACTTTCTACTTCTTACATGTTGAACACAAATACCTGTACTTTCTACTTCTCACATTTTCCAAACAGGCTGGTTCCTTTAGTTTGAATGTGTGTTTGGTGGCGTGATCATTATTATTTAGAGTCATTGCGTGCCTATTGATTTGAACACGATCCGTGTATCCATCATTTCCTGGTCTTCTCTAAAGAAGAGGGACCAATGAAAACGTTGTCATGTTGCCGTTGTTCACCATGGAAACATTCATTAGCTAACAATGACATTATTGTTCTCTTAATATAAAGGGAAGTCAGGTACTCTTTAAAACACCTGCTAGTTATGGGTACTTTTTACTGAAGTACATTTCAAAGTTCTTTACTTTTACTTGAGGAAAGAAGTTTAGTCAGTACTTTTACTTTTACCAGAGTATTTTTAAACACGAGTATCTGTACTTCTACTCGAGGAAAGGATGAGTGTACTTGTTTTTTATATTTCTATTGTAAATTATTGTCTTTTATTGTGATTGTAGTCATGTATTTTTATTACATGTACAGCACTTTGGCTCGACCAAAAATCACTTTTAAATATGTTATATAAATAAAACTTGATTTGATTTGCCATCTCTGTCCATCATGCAAAATGCACTTGCACTAAATGCACTAAACATCACTGTATTTCTTCCCTTCCTGCAGATTCTGGCGAGGGGTTCAAGTGTGACCGCTGTGGGAAGGTGTTTGCCTACAAATACTACAGAGACAAGCACCTGAAGTACACTCGCTGCGTGGACCAGGGCGACAGGAAGTTCCCGTGCCATCTCTGCACACGCTCCTTCGAGAAGAGAGACCGGCTGAGGATCCACATCCTGCACGTGCACGAGAAGCACCGGCCGCACAAGGTACTGAAACTGTGATGTATTTACTGCAGGGTGTGTTGCTCATTTCATTTCTACTCTTATCTTAACTTATCTGACAACGCTGCAGAGATGTGCATTATTGCATCTTAATGTTAACGCTCCTGTGGTGCTGAAAGAACAGCAGAACCATTTATTAGGCCTCTTCAAAAATGCAAATGTGTTTAGTTTAGTTTCGTTAAAATGGACATCACGGAAATATAATACAACATACATTTAAGCACAGACAATGCACTGTGCTTAGTATTTGTATTACTTTTTAACATATACATATAAACATATATTAGTTTAAGATATCTTCCAGAAAGAGATATGACAAATTGAAATAAGTTTGACTTGTTAATGTCTTGTATCATGTATGTCATATAATGTATTTTGTGTGTGTGTGTGTGTGTGTGTGTGTGTGTGTGTGTGTGTGTGTGTGTGTGTGTGTGTGTGTGTGTGTGTGTGTGTGTGTGTGTGTGTGTGTGTGTGTGTGTGTGTGTGTGTGTGTGTGTCCTGCAGTGCTCGGTGTGTGGAAAGAGCTTCTCTCAGTCCTCCAGTCTCAACAAACACATGAGGGTTCACTCCGGAGAGAGACCCTACAAGTGTGTGTACTGCAACAAGGTGAGAGGAGGACACTTCATTTTAACTTCATTTTAAAAACAGGGACAAATAGGCCGCAATTATCAGATTGACTACACCCTAAACCTTTAAACGGAAATATAGATAAAGAAATAGATATATTGGATTAGCACGTGTCAAATAAGGAAATAAAAGAGAATAATTTTAAAGAAAAAGTCAAATCCACTTTGCATTGATTTAATTTAAAGGGCCTTTCTCAAGAATGAAAGTAAGGTATACACGCTTTTATACAACTTAAATAACCACTTTGTATTGATCATATACATTACAACTGAATTATTTACCTTACAGTGTTAGTCAATTTAAAAACAACTTAAATAATTATATATAATATGATTTAAAATGTACATGTCCCAATACTTCAAATATGTGTTTTCAAAAAGCACTCACATTTTAATTTAATTTCTTTAAAAAATGCATTGCTGATTCTGAACAGTATGCCTCCTCCTCTTCCTCCTCATTTGGATCCATTTACTCCTCCTCGTGTCACGGTGCATTTTCCTCGCGCCCCTTACCATTGTTTTCGGGGGGCTTGCACGCGCCGGCAGACACTTACATGCTAATTATCGCCAGATGTGCCCCCCCCCTCTTTGTCTGCAGATTATTTCTGAGTTTACTGCAGGAGGAAGAAGTCTTTGTGTCTATTTTTCCTCGTGTCCTCCTCCTACTTTTATCACCGCGAGGGGTTCAATAATCCCTTAAATGCACCCCTCCATCTCTTAATAAGAGAGGAGGGGTGCATTTAAAAACGGTGGATAAAGAAACGGAAATTAAAAAGTTTGACTTGTTTTATTAGATTGTATTTCTCCTTTATTCAAAGACACTAAGTGCTCCGTAAAGACTAACATTATCTACGAATATGAATAAGCCAAACCGTAATAAGGGTAACGCACAGAGGTGTTTTATTTAGTTTAGTTTGTATTTATTTATGTTCTTACCTATTTTGATTTGTTGTACATTTTTCGCCTAGCGCTCCTTTTCAATAATCGTTACATAAAGTCAGTAAACGGTAAAAATAGATGCAATGAGATGACATTTTAGCCTGAAGTAATCTGAACGGATGTACAAACCAGCTCGAGTGCGCTAGAATTTGAAAATACACAACCGAAAAAAATCTGCCCCTTCGTTCAGACTTCCTCCAACACACACGCACGCGCACATGACAAATGAGGGCACGAGATAAATGTGTGCACGAGATGGAAGGCTGACAGGCAGGTAGGCCATCCAGTTATTTTAGCCGGGCCGGCTCAGATGATTGGTCGTGCTTTTTACAGCGCCACGGCTTCCACAGATGACATTTTATGTATTTATTGTCAAAGCATATATTCATTGCTATCGGGATGTTAAGAGCATTCCATGGAATATAACAACAAGTGTTTCTGAAGTGAATTACATACCCCACCTTTAAGAGGAGTCTTGCTTAAAAACGTGCATAAGGAAACTGAAACCAAAATGTTAGACCCGATTTATTTGTGATAAATAAGTGTTTCATAACGTAAAACGGTAAAATGCAGAAGCTAGAGATAAAGAAGCCTGTTTCCACTGCACCTTGGCTATTAAACCGAACTCAAAATGTAGTATTAAAGAGATTTAAAGCTCATTTGAAACTAACGCACAGCATTAACAGTGGCTTAAAGCGAGAGAATCTTGATTTTTCTTGGGGGTTTTGTTTCTATATTCACTGTTTAATCGGGTAATGCAAGGTAATAGAAAAACACCTGGCACTTTGTAAAAGCACTGAATAAAATATGTTTATCCTTCGATCATTTCCTTCTGTCAAAATGTGATTTAACAAAGCGAGAGCAGAGTTTAAAATAAGAATAAGAAGGTTTTCTTTAGTGAGAAGGGACGATCGCGTATAGGCTTTCAACTGTGGATAGGAAAACGGAAACACAAATGGACTCGTTTTCTTTGCTATTAATAGTAAGATATAGGTTAAAATGCGTTATATTATGGAATACATCAATATATCTTAGACATCCCGATAGCAATGAATACATTAAATGCTTTGACAATAAATACATTCATCTATGGAAGCCGTGGCGCTGTAAAAAGCACGACCAATCATCTGAGCCGGCCCGGCTAAAGTAACTGGATGGCCTACCTGCCTGTCAGCCTTTCATCTCGTTCGCAAACTTATCTCGTGCCCTCATTGGTCATGTGCGCGTTCGTGTGTGTTGGAGGAGGGGCTCTGTAAGGAAGTCTGAAGGAAGGGGCTGGTTTCTCCATTCTTATCTACCCTACCTTTAACCTTTTTTATATCACCATATTTTATTTAATATTCTCCTTGGATAACTTTGTATTTTCTCCTCATTGCATTGTGAAGCACCTTGAGATGACGTTGTTTTTAAAGTGTGCTTTCTAAATGAAATGTATTTATTATATTGTTATTATATATATCACTGTCCTGTCTTCTCAGGCCTTCACCGCCTCCTCCATCCTTCGCACGCACATCCGGCAGCACTCCGGGGAGCGGCCCTTCAAGTGCGCGCACTGCGGGAAGGCCTTCGCCTCGCACGCGGCTCATGACAGTCACGTGCGGCGGACTCACGCGAAGGACCCGCCCCCCCCCTGCGATCTGTGCGGGGCCAACTTCAAGGAGGACAAGGAGCGCAAACTCCACATGAAGAACCACCTAGGTGAGACATTATTTCATATTTAAATTCATTTTTAAGGCCTAACAAGCGATTTTTTATTTGTATTAATATTTTTTTACATGTATTTTAATTTATATTATTGTTTGTATTATTAGTGTTATTTTATTATAATTTTATTAGTAGCCTAATATTTTTATTATTATTATTATTATATAATTTAAAAAACCTTTTCTTTGTCGTTTTTATTTAATTTTACGGTTATAATTTGGATTTCAACATTTGAGTTGATCTAAGAAACAAGTGAAAAATGTATTTGAATATAATGAGAAGAATATTTTTACATTATCCCATAATAAGGAGTTATAGAATGTGGGAATCTAAATATATTTGTAGTGCCACGTGTTGATAAATGAATGTTTTGTATATGCAAGTAATTTAAACAATTACATTTAAATACATTTCAGGATAAATCCATGCATTAATGCACTGAATATGACAGAATGTGCATACAAATGAATGCTTGTTAATGCAGTTGGTTCCATTCTTCAAGTATATCATTGTTTCCTGTATGTAAGGCTGCAAAACGAAAGATGTATGAAATGTGGTCACTTTATTAAGCGTGTTTGTCTCGCTCTGCAGACAGACGAATCCCGGACAGCACCGTTCTTCCCATTTCTCCAGACGCTGGACTTCTGGAGAAGGAAATTCCCAAATCACAGAAGACGTTTCCTCACAGCGGGATCACGGTTTTAAATCAGGAATATCGGCCCTGGAATTAGATGAACTGTGAACCCTGAGGTGTAAGACCACAGAAAACAGGCACTACCAGGATAGAGAGAAACATCAATCAGAGGGTTTTCTGAATGTAAATGCTGCTTCATAATTAAAAAAAAAAGCTCTATAATTAAAAGTCTATTTAAATAGGCTTATCATAATTTAATTTGTAGGCAAAAATGTCTAAATCTATTTAATATATGTTGTTGTTTGTTGTCTTAAACTCTGTTTTCTGAACCACAATAATAATAACAACTTATGTAATTATGTTTTCGTGCATCGACAAACGCTTGAAAAGCTATTTTTATCATTGTGGGTCTGAGCCTATTTGTGTATAAAATGAATTGTTGTCTTAATTTATTCTGTATAATAATGTTTTGTATGTCCGGCTGCAGAAGCTTTTGTTTATCTGAGCTTTTTCATGATCAACAAATAAAAAATCAGCGCATGGAAAACAAATTGTTGCTTTTGGTTTATGAGAAAATGAGAATAAATGGGTACGAATTTAATTTAACAACAGAAAATGTCCCTTTAAATGTATATTATTACACATTGCAGTTCATGCATATATTTATGGATTAAAGACTGAATGATTTGAACCAGAAATGTCTCAAATAACAGGATAATTTCAAAATAAAGGGCACAGACTTTATTCATTCCCAGCAAATTAATGAAATTACATTTTATTCTGTTACGCCATCCTCGCAAACAAACTCTCAGTGTCCATCAGTCGTGTTCAATAATTCAGATAATGCTCTGTGTTGGTTAACATATCTGCACGTGTGTGTGTGTGTGTGTGTGTGTGTGTGTGTGTGTGTGTGTGTGTGTGTGTGTGTGTGTGTGTGTGTGTGTTTCTGTTGTGTGTGAATGAAGTGCTTCAGGCAGCGGCAGACCTTTCCTTCACCCTGCAAAGTTGTGTGTTTCTGTCCCACTGGACTCTACAGCTGATCTGATAAACAGGCTTTCACTAAATCTTAAAGTGAGCAAAGTAAAAAATACCTAAAAGATATTTCCCTCCAAACTAAACAAGTTTACCAACCCTACAAATGACACGATCCTGCATGGATTTGATGGACACAGAAACATGGTGCTGCTGTTTCAAAATGCGCCTCTGTACACATCACTGGACATGGTGACATTACCCAGAATTCCCCTGGGCTTTGAGCTTCAGAAAGATAACCAAATGCCTAATTTCATCCTCCAGTAACTCCCACCAAAAGCTCACAGAAGACAATTGGAGAATCTTCCCCTCTGTAAACACCGTTTTGTTTCTAAATCAACAGGAAGTTGAATTGATATTCACAAACAACAAACTGCCATGCAGACTCGATTCAGAGAGTTATCATTGGTCTCAACTTAGCCTCCAATTAAAGCATTCAGTCTCACAATGAATGCCCTCCCACCTTTAGGTGCCAGCTGTCACATGTTGTAGATATAACTCCGGCTCACTTCAAAAAGAGTTAACAATAGAGCTGCAGGGATGAGGCCACTAATCCATTTGTCAAACGTTTTTATACAACATAGCAGAATATGTCAGCCTCTTAAGAATAAAGTTTTACCCTGATTTCTATCATATTAAAGCATGCAAAGCTTTGTATGTGCATCAAACTAAGCAAAGATGACATGATGTAAACAAAGGCATTCAAGACACAAACATTACAAAAGTGACTTCTTCATGATGTCCCCTTTAAACTTGATGAAAGCAATACACTTTACTGAGTCTTTGTGTTAAGCTAAGCTAACTAAGCTTCATATTTAAAGTACAGATATGAGAGTGATATCGATGTTCTCATCTAACTTTCAACAAGTAAGCACATAAGTGTTCTTCCTCCTTGAAACATCCTCTCTTTTTTATAATGTGCCGCATTTCCTTTCCACTTAACAAGCTACAGCTTCAATTTGGAAAATAGCTTATTGATTGTCTGAATGCAGGATCAGTAGCTTCAGTGGTGACTGCGGACATACAGCCTTGGAGAAGCCTGCCTTTTTTTGTTTGTTGCTGAACCCACCTCCTCTTTTAATCTGCACCTCATCGATCAGATGGATTTCCCCCCCGTGGTTACAGTTAGCACGTGTCCTGTACATGCAGCGTTTTATTCTGATTGTGATTTATGTGGCTCACTAAAGGCAGCACTGTTGTATGACCTGTGTTTTATTGTGTTTGCAGTGTGCAGGATGTGTGTGTGTGTGCAGAGGTGGGAAGTAGTGGAGTACAAATACTTCATTACCGTACTTAAGTACATGTTTCTGGAATTTTTTCTGGTATTTTCTCCACTACTTATTTTTCTGATTACTTTTTACTTTGACTTCTCACATGTTGAACACAAATACCTGTACTTTCTACTTCTTACATGTTGAACACAAATACCTGTACTTTCTACTTCTTACATGTTGAACAAATACCTGTTCTTTCTACTTCTTACATGTTGAACACAAATACCTGTACTTTCTACTTCTTACATGTTGAACTCAAATACCTGTACTTTCTACTTCTTACATGTTGAACACAAATACCTGTACTTTCTACTTCTTACATGTTGAACACAAATACCTGTACTTTCTACTTCTTACATGTTGAACTCAAATACCTGTACTTTCTACTTCTTACATGTTGAACACAAATACCTGTACTTTCTACTTCTTACATGTTGAACAAATACCTGTTCTTTCTACTTCTTACATGTTGAACACAAATACCTGTACTTTCTACTTCTTACATGTTGAACACAAATACCTGTACTTTCTACTTCTTACATGTTGAACTCAAATACCTGTACTTTCTACTTCTTACATGTTGAACTCAAATACCTGTACTTTCTACTTCTCACATTTTCCAAACAGGCTGGTTCCTTTAGTTGAATGTGTGTTTGGTGGCGTGATCATTATTATTTAGAGTCATTGCGTGCCTATTGATTTGAACACGATCCGTGTATCCATCATTTCCTGGTCTTCTCTAAAGAAGAGGGACCAATGAAAACGTTGTCATGTTGCCGTTGTTCAGCATGGAAACATTCATTAGCTAACAATGACATTATTGTTCTATTAATATAAAGGGAGGTCAGGTACTCTTTAAAACAGCTGCTAGTTATGGGTACTTTTTACTGAAGTACATTTCAAAGTTCTTTACTTTCACTTGAGTAAAGAAGTTTAGTCAGTACTTTTACTTTTACCAGAGTATTTTTAAACACGAGTATCTGTACTTCTACTTGAGGAAAGAATGTGTGTACTTTTGCCATCTCTGGTGTGGACATGCTGTAACGTGTGTGTGTGTGTGTGTGTGTGTGTGTGTGTGTGTGTGTGTGTGTGTGTGGACCTGTACTTTTATTAGAGACATCCAGTGTGTGTGTGTGTGTGTGTGTGTGTGTGTGTGTGTGTGTGTGAGAGAGAGAGTGTGTGTGAGAGAGTGTGTGTGTATGTGTTTCTGTCTGTGTGAGAGAGAGTATGTCTGTGTGTGTCTGTGTGTGAGAGAGAGAGTGTGTGTATGTGTGTTTGAAAAGAGTGAGTGTGTGTGTGTGTGTGTGTGTGTGTGTGTGTGTGTGCAGAGCTGGATGCAGAGGAGTGGTGTAAGCTTCTGTGCGTGGAGTGCCTCGGCAGCCGTCTGAACGACATCAGCCTGGGGGAGCCGGACCTGTTAGCAGCGGGGGTGCAGCGGGAGCAGAACGGTGAGTGCCCAATTAGTCCCATTCAGGGTCAATCTCTCACTCTCAGGAGAAGTTAGCGGAGAAGTTAGCGGTTGCAGAGCGGTTGCAGTATGTTAAAAAAGCAAGTCCTCAGAGGGTTAGGGGAGCAAAACATACTCCGTCCAATTAGGCCCGGCTAATAAGGGCCATTTTTTGTCAATATCTGATCCCAAAGTCCACCTGTTGCAGTCTTTAAAGAGCGCATGTTGGTTCAGTAAGTATGTGCGCGTGTGTGTGTGTGTGTGCGTGTGTGTGCGTGCTGGAGCACAGGTCACAGGCTCTGTTCCAGCGCTAATGAGAGCTGCTGTGCATCACTGGCTTCCCTCATAATGAAGCTTGTCACAGAGATGGATGAGATTATGGCTCCAAAAGCCATGTGAAATGAATGTGCTTCATCCCCACATATTCCACTCACAGGAAATGGAAATGGGAAAGAGAGGAGACAACGGGGTGCTGCTATCACACCGGAGCTCATTCTCTGTGTAATTTGTAAACTGGCGGAGGAAATTGAAAAGGCAACAGCCAAAGAAGAGAAGTTTAAAGTTGTAGAGAAGGAGGGCGAGTAATTGAAAAGAATCGGCCGTCATTTCATTTCTCCGCAGCCGAGAACTGAAATTGTATTCTTCAACATAACCTTTTTTTTTTTTTTGAGATATTAATTTTACTTTTTTTTGCAAGCGCACTGAAGTGTAGCATCACCACTGGACTGAAGTTTGGTGCTCAAGGGAAAGTTGCAGCATTGAAATAAACCTGAATGAATCAAGAGGCCCTGCAGCGATGTTTCAATTATCTCCTCAAACTACTACTGTATATCTGCAACATCATTAAATCAGAGTTCATTTTCCCTGTCCCTAAAAATACGTCGCACTATGACATTGCCATTTCCTATCCGCTGCAGACACACGGCTTATTTTGAATCATTAAGCTTAATTAGTGAGAACTAATTTAGATTATAGAGCGCTCCCTCTCCGTCTGCCTCCCACAGCTTCTAATGTGACGGGGCAGATTCAGCGGCTGATCCCAGAGCAGCTCACTTTACGGCGTCAGGTGAACTTAAAATACCTTTTTTGGAAAAAAACCTCTACCTTAGAGTGAATTGAGTCGAGGCAGACTATGTATTTATATAGTGCTGCAGATGCATGTTGGGGTTTCTTCCAATGTTTTTCGTACATTATTTTAAAAAAAAAACAAGCTTTGTGTCATCAAACACTTATTATATATACACGTTTGTTTCAGCAGAATATACTCACAATTCTATGACTTTTAAATCTGCTAAAGCTAATATGATAGCATGACCGCAGTCACATGACTTCATCAGCTGTCGTTCCCTTGGGCTTGTTGTCACTGCGCCCCCTGCAGAGATGGCTGAACGGCCTCCAGTTAGGCCCCGGCCCCACGAGGACGCATACGGCTATGGGCTAAACGCATAGGATTAACGCAAACGCAATCGCAAAAAAGCTTCCGTCCAAACGCAATATTCACCGGATAGTGTCTGGCCGTTTCTCAATCTCGAGGAAACTGGCTTCCAAGCCAATATTTCAAGGATGCTACGTCATCGAGTGCCGCCGAAGGACTGTTCCAATCTCCAGCATACTTGGAATTCCACCGAGGCTGCGTCCTTGGTTTGGGGGTAATTTCGAGGCTGCACATGGGTAGACTTCGCGTCCTTAAAATCCCCACAATGCTTTGCGCACGGACCAATTTCCCCAAATCTGTGGCGGAAAATGTAAGGCGGGGCCTCTCATATGACGCACACCTGCACACTTGCTAGCCTGTTCC